CTGTTGTGTCAGCTACATTTATTTTGGGCATTTTGTCTGTCTAAATAAGTGATTTGAGCCTTTCTTTTGCAGATAATTACAAACTAAAACATGCAAGTTTTGTGTTAAAACAAAATTTTGTTAGTTTTGCCAGATGAACAACATTTTGCACTGAGAGGAAAAGGACTATTCCATTTTTTTTTTAAATGAGAACAAAAGCTTTTAATCCCGATCATTTCACAAACAGCTCAAGCTGACACACAAAAAAAAAAAGTACATAAAAAGACTTGTCCACGTTCTACCATAGGCTCATAAAAAAGCCTCCTATTTGAATGAAACAACTGTTTTTGTTGTTATATTTTATATACAGCAGTCCCTCGCTGCTTCGCAGTTTGTTTATCGCGGACTCGCTCTATGACGGTTTTTCAAAATAAGATTGGACATAACACACAATTGGCTGATTGATGGATGAACAACACTTTGATCAGCATGGAATTTTATTTAAAATAAATTAGTTAAAATTATTTAACACCAGCTGCAGCTGTGTGCAGCCCACAGCTGCAGGAGAAGCTCCCTCCTGCAGCGCGTCATATCTCCGCTCTGCAGCAGAGAAGTGGGCGTGGCCGAGAGCACTGGCAGAGAGCACAGATCATGACATTCTGAGCTCTTTTAGAGCGTTTAGAGTTTAGAAACACTGTTTAGAATATTGCTAGAGTGTGGGTACAGATCCCCCGCACTAAACGAGGGACTACTGTATATTTTATTTATTTTAATTTTATTTATTCATTCATTTAAAAGAAACAAAACAAATTCATCAAAAAGAAAAAAAAACTTTGAATGAAAAGGGTGCAGAAAGAAGAAGAAAATTCTTATAATATCTGCCCCTTATTTAAAAAATATATAAAATAAACAACTCAGGCTAGAACAATCCCCAAAGCGAAAACTCTATACAACAAAATATATAAAAACAATAAAATTAATATGCTGCCAAATCGACTCACATTTCAAACACTCCTAACCCAAGCACAAGAGCAACTGCTGGAAAGATCTTTATAAAAAGTCATTTGGCAACATATGAAAAGTGAACGTGATCGGAAACAGTCCGAGTAATCAGAATGTTGATGGGCCAGATATCAGGCAGTGAAACTTGTCGTCACATTCTTCAGGAACAAGCTGCTGATTAAACATTTTTAAACAAGTACAGCCTGCTTGAAAGTTTAAAAAAAAAGTTTAGTCCTCTTATTTTTTCCAAAAGCTAGTGAAAGGATTTTTCTGGGCTCTCATTAAAATACGAACAAAACCATTAATAGCCACTCCTTGTGGCTAAAATAAAAACATAATAAAAATATTGAAATAAAACAAAAACTACATTAATGCACACCTTATTCTTAAAATACACGTCAGTTGCTGGTAAACGTTTGGTGGCTTTATATATTCTTACTCCAAAGCGCACACAACTTAAAGGTCTGCTACAGTATAGACTAATAATTTTCTATTTTGCTGGACTGCTCTAGTCGTTCTTATTAATTCATACAAATATATTATTTTATCTTAATTCCATTCAATTCAGTTTATTTAAATAGCACCAAGTCACAACAGAAGACATCTCAGGGCACTGAACAGAAACATTCACATACATAAAAAGTAAGTTAATAACATTATTTATCTTGTAAACTATAAAATTATTGAAGATCTGGATGTTTATGTTCGACTATGGTTGAGAGTAATGCAAACAAATAAGGTAAGAAGTTATAAAATCCCATAAACATGATTCAGTATTTTCATTTGATTCTTTAGACATGTTAAAAAAGTAAAACTACACCAATTTTCTGATTTATTTCATTTCATTGTTATATAAAATTGACTTTATTGCCCATTTTTAAGTTATCTATGTTTTTCTGCTGAACATGATGTTCTGCATCTACCAGATAACTCATCCTGATAAATTTTCTAACTCAATCCGTGACAGACACACGACACTGTGCAGTCTGTGGTGTCTGTCCATGCCAAGGTAAACTGAAGCCACTGGGGTCGTGACCTTTGTCAGACTCACTACAGTCAGCCCCAACAGTCTGTGGGGTTGCTGTCACTTGTTGTCGCTTGTTTGCTAAAAAAACAGCCATGAGCCCCAACAAATCTAATTCCTGCTCCCACAGAGAGAGCAACATTTCAATAATGACCTCTGTGTTTTGTCTGCATCTGCACAACCAGCGGGGGTGGGGTGGGGGTGGGGGGGGTTTGCACAGGACGACTGCCGCCTGCTGTGGCTTTTGTGTGGGTGCTGCCGCGGTGGAGCCGACAAACGGCGGAGCGTCTGATGAAACGCTCTCAGGTTGGAACGAACGGCGCTGAAGGGAACCTTTGATTTGGTCTGGGCTGTCTCAGGACAGACGGCAGAGCGATCCAAGGAGGAAAATCCAATAAGAGACGAGTGAAAAGAGAGAAGAGTGAGGGGCCGGGAGAGAACGAGAGACAGAACGCACCTTTATGTCATCCCGGGATGATTTGAAAGCCTGAGGAACAAAGGAATCGCTCTCGATGGCCTCGATGTCCTTTATCCTTCGCACTTGCTCCTCCAGAGAAGTTCCTTCTGAAACACACGGAGGGAAGCCATGAACAAAAGCGCACGCATACACATACAGAAAGAAGACACACGTGTCCGCAGACGCGCAGCGTCGGACAGTCCCTGTCATGATCTGAAAGGCACCTGATTTCACCTAGATTGGGCACTCCCTCTCGTTTAATACCATTTGACACGTACAATATGAGATCTCTCATATTCTCCTATTCCAATCTTGGCAGAAAGAAAAAAGTACTTATGCCTAGCCAAGGACGCAGAGTTCCTACAAAAAGGTAAAGAATAAATAAAAAAACAACATACTAACAAGATAATAGCCCAGCAGTGAATTACACTCAGATAATGGCATTCTAAAATAATCAAAATATGAACACAGCCTCACTGCAGTGGAATTTCATTATGGAGATGAAATGTGATTAAGTTTCATAGCTCTCTTTTTATCAGAGAGTATACTTCTTTGGCTTGTCCAATCTAACAAAAAGACACAGAGAGTTTCCAATAAATTACTGTTGGATGTAAACACATCAGGATTCTGCATATCAGATAAATCGTTTCAAGAATCCAAGAGTGGGAGCGTGGGAGGGCAAAAATAGGTGTGCTAGGGAAGTTAGTGACAGTGAGCATGAAATAAATAAATAAAGTCTGAACGCTCTCATTATTTTCCGGCTGTCAATCTTCCCGCTGATCAGTCAATATTCATCCCTCTCGTTCCCATCCATCCGTCCTCTCCTGCACTCTCCCATCTCCGTATCTGTCAATCCAGCAGACGTCCATGTTCCTCCGCTGCACTGATGTAGGCTGTGTCGCGCAAACAGCGTGTTCAGAGCGGGACACGGGAGCTGAAGTACGCCCACGTGCGCACACAAACTCGCAAACTCGCATTCGCGGCGTGCAGAAATACGGACGTGCATGCTTCCTGGTGCGCACGCACACGGAATGCATTTCGGAGCCGATTACGGGAATTAATTCAATCCATTAGCAGATACAGAAAAAAGTGTCACAACAGATCTTTGTGGCCCTGATGTTTAATGAATAAATGAATATTTGGTCCAGCAGTCGCGGCGAAATGTCACACACTTTATTAAGGCTCATAATAGCACTTCAACAAACTCTGGTTTGATTTGAACGCAGTGCAGGACTGGACGACTGACTGACGAGTGGAATTAAGCCTTCCTATATGACGGACTATCAGGTTGTCATCCAGCGCGGGAAGATGTGAGCAGAGACATCACACAGTGGCTCCAAAAATAGTCATTACCTTGACTGAACACAGGCCCAATATCCTCCTGGAGACTGTGGCCCGTCCTTCACACACACATCACCACTGCGGGGCTGCATAAATGTGTGTGTGTTTCAATAGGATCTAACGCCTGTGACTGCCCCACAATTAATTCAGCAGAGTTAATTCGTTTTTTCAATTACCCCTTCTCTGCTGTCCTTTGAGCATGAATGCCCTACATAAACAATAGCCACACTGACATGTACACACACACACACACACACACACACACACACACACACACACACACACTCGTATCTGCTAGCATCTCCTTGGCAAGCCCGTCTGTTGCTGTGCTGTCCGTGCGCGGCGCAGGAATCCATTAAGACATCAGACTTTTTGACAAACACATTATTGGTAGATAAAATGACTTCCATATGCTGTTTGTCAGATGTCAGTGGGAAAAGATATGTATTTCATGAGAAAATCAAAAATAATGGACTTTGAGAACGGGCCAAGCGAGCTCAGAGGCAGGCAAAAAAAATAAAAAACATAAAAATCAATACTCCAGCTGGGTGAGCGCACTCTGCAGCTTGAAGAGGTCAAAGTTGATATTTAATATTGACACATTATCTGGCAAATTAATTTAACAGGTCGACTCGATTGTCACCGCATTAGGAGCTCTTCTCTGTCAGTGATGAGACGAGGATGAAGTGAAAGATGAGACGGAGAAGTCAGAGAGGGAGAAATAAAAAAAAAGAAGCAGCAATATACAGTAAATGCTGCTTTAAATCAAGTTATTCTGAAAGTTAAACAACCAACACTCTGAATTAAGTTTAAATGAACGATTAATCGATAGTGGCAAACGTGTGTGCTAAAATCAGTTTTTGTCCTTGTATGATCACGTCATCATGTGTGTACTCTTCAATAAAAACACGAAGTCAGAAAATTCACCATCTCATTACTGAAATTAGTAAGATAGACAGCGACGCTGATGAGCAGCTCAGAATCAATAAGCTATTGTTCTCTCTAAATAGCTGTTTGTCCACTTCATTGATTAAGACCCAAAGACGTGGAGAGAAAATCAAACCAGCCAATAGAAACAGATTTCGGATGGTCTGCTTCAGCCTGGAAGACAGGAGCAGCAGTTACACGTCGTGACCAGAAGAGGGGGCTGTTTCACAACATATACTGAGCTGGGGTCATCCTGTGTCTTTGTACACTTGACTTTGTTCTACAGTTTGTCCTCAACAGCAGCCATGTCCAGTATATTGCTGCTGATGATTAATTCCAGTAACTGGCGATCCAGTGGAATCACAGCAGGACTCGTTTCATAAGGAAAAAATACATAAAAAGGGAAATGCGCCTGAAAGAAAACTTTCCAACGCGTCTGCTATTTAGCAAACAAGGAATTGAAAAACATTTATTGTATATTTTAAAAATTAATACAGCATAAAATTACAAGCTATTTATGATTGGGTGACGGAATGAATTCAACAATTTTATTTTAAAATAACCAACTTCATCAAAGCATGCAACATTGAAAAAAAAATGCATTAAAAGTCACAAAGACTTGTATTAAATGAAACTTTCATGATGGTGCAGTTTTACTGGTCCCATTTGTGCGTTTTCTAAGCCCCACACCTCTCTGCCACATCCAGCACCTCACTTCTTAGGATGCGTCAGGATAAACAGATTTAAGTTTTGGATGTCGCGTCTTGTTTTCACAAGTACACGCGCTCACACTCTGCAGCATCTCTTGATTTCCCAGGTTTCAGTAATGCGCCTCTCCCTCCTCTCCCCCCCACCTCCTCTCTCCCTGCACTGTGGTAAAGATGTGTAATTCAATGCTCAATTTAGGCCGTCTCAGTGGAGATTTTTTTGCCTGCTAATTGATAGAAATTAAGCCATTAATCAAGCCACGAGCCATCATTCAACCCGGGGAAGATGAATACAAACTTTCATAATAACCACCTTCCCCATTTTAGCCTTCATTAGCATTAATTTTTAATGTAATTATGCTATTCTTTTACGCTGAGCTCATAAATTACTGCTCTTTTGTTGCTGGCTGGCCTTGTAAAATCCAGCGTAATGCTTTGTAGTCTGATCTTTAAGGCAATTACTGGCTTCTTCACTCTTTTATCTCCCTGCATTTCCAATAACCTGCTCTCTAATGATTTATCTCAGCAGCACCCCCCCCCCCCCCCCCCCGCCGCCACCATCTCCACCCCAATCCCCTTCCTCTCTCTCTAACTCTGCACCAACTGCCCTGCCTGCCGCCAGCCTCCACCTCCAGTCCTCCTACTTTATCTTCATGGCATTTTCAGCAACCCCAGATCCATCTGGTAAACACACCAACACGTGCTGCCTAACTATATTAACACAATCAAAAGCCCATAAGTGCATTTAGTGTGTGTGAGTGCACTAACTTTGTTTACCATCTCCTTTAATCGTTTTCCAACTTCATTAGGAAATATCCAGCTCCAGCATTTGCGAGAACACGAGGGGGAAAGTCACGTTAAGGAGACCGGAGCTGCATCTCACTCTCTCCGTCTTGGCTGCTCTCCGGTGGGTCTTACCTGTAGGCTAAGCTGCTCTTGTTTATGTAACCCCTGAGCAGAGTAAACTCACACGGACATGCACGCAAACATGCAGACACACACTCGCAGATCTTGGCATCAGCTGAGAAAGGCTTAGCGGGGCTGCGTGCTGGGGGCAATAGAAGGGCTTTTACTCTGGCCCTGTTTGCAGCAGCTGCAGCATCCTGGATGCAAGTCCTTACTGGACTATTCTGCAGGCCCGAACATCAGGCTGCTGAAATGCAAGACGAGGAGCATGACTAAACAGCCAAAAAGAGTTAATAATTGCTTATAAACTACTTGTTACAATTTCTCAGTTAAGTTATATTTGTCAGACATAAAATGCGTATGGATTTAGATTACTGGCTGTTTGTTTGGAAATCTTGCTCCTAAAGCAGTTATTAAAAAAATAAAAATAAAAATATGCATTTTTTTTTTTTTAAATACAACAGCTTTAAGTCGATCTAATGTCAAACCAAAACCTGGCAGACAGATCACTACCTCTATACTAGGTGACCAATTTATGTGCGGTAGTTAAAAAAGTTGACTAATGCTCGAGATGGGGTGGAGGAAGGGCAGCCGACTCTGAACCCGAAAGTCCCAGGTTCTATCCCCAGCCATTCCCACATGTCGTGGTGTCTCTGAGCAAGACACCCCATCCCTAATTGCTCCCCGGGCGCTTACATAGCTGCCCACCGCTCCACCTGGGTGCATCTCATGTGTGATGGGTTAAATGCAGAGAACTAATTTTGCCATTGTATGGGAACATACAATGATGACAACACACCAGCACTTTACTATATATATAATCTATATATCACACACATACAATATATTGATTATAGGCCGCTGACATATTCTGATGTTAGTTCTGTAAATGCATCAAGTATCAAGCTAATGAGAGGCTATTAGGCATATTGATTTACTGACTTTTACTGATAGCATGGAGCCTAAAGCTGCATGTCGATATTTGCATAAGTAACTCTGAAGCTTCAGAAAGTGAAAAATGAACCCTTGATGAACAAAGAAACTAGAAATAAATGAAGTAACAAGGAGAATAATGACAGCAAACAAAAAAAAACAAAATGAACAAGTTCTCACTTTACTGTTTTTATACAGAGGCTATTACTAAAACTGTGAGATTCCTAGATTTACTTCAGTTTATACACGTCACACCTCACAAACCTAAATGTTTATTTAATTTACTTATGTAG